TGACAGAGGGGGGGGGGGAATACAATAGATGAAAGATTTCTCATTCCTGGTTCCCTTTCTTTGAACTTGGTTAGAATAAATAGCCTGCCAGGAAGCAGTCATATACTATTGTTTGTATGTAGTAGTGGGAACTAACCTGCATTTATGTGGTCCTTCCCATTGAAGAGACGCCCATTTCCGACCGCTGGTTTTTTAACTGTGGACAGAAATGTAAACATTGTATTGAAATATATAATATGACACAAAAGAATTTGTTTTATGGTCAAAAAGCGCTCAAAATTATTCAGAATGATATATGTATTAATGAATATAAGTGTGCATTCTTGAATTAACAAACTTCAGTACACAATAGGGCATTAGAGTCATCTTCATAACATTTGATTATTCAGAATTCATATAACTAGCTCTAAACATGTCAACAATACACAGTAACTAACTTCAACAAACTTGCTAATTTACACTAATGTCTGCTATAATACAATAACCTGTAAAACAGAGTTTGTGCAACTCTAAGTAAATAAATAAGTATATTTTGAGACTTGAGGCTAAGTAATAAATGATTAAAGGGTCACAAGATATGTAACATAATTACAGAGTACAGAGAATAACATCATGTGACCAACATAATTACTAATTGAAGCACAAAAGCATTTAAACATTAAGGGAACACACAAATATAGCAGCAAAAATAGGCCAACATCTATTGCTACTGCTGTGATATAAATAGATATAAAAATAATTGAGGATTAGAAAAATAAGATTTTATTGTCACATTTTAAAAGCAGGTTTTCAAGACACAAATTCATCAAGCAAAAAATATTCCGTTCACATTCGCATTTTAAACAATTTACTAATTTCAAAGTTGAGGTATAGGCTGACCACAGTTAGAAGGTACTTTCATAAAGCAAAGTGCATTATCATCATCATCCTCATTATTATGATTAAATTCATAGTCTGTATCAGAAGCATCACCACCACCACCACCACCTAAGTAAGCTTTGTGGTGCAATAAAAGGCCCATAACTTTCAAACGGCTTTATGGATCAGGTCGCTTTGTTCCAAAAATGTCCAAGTCAGAGCCCAATGTGTCTAAAAGCAGAGAAATCAATGTGAGAGCTTGCGCACCACGGATGTGAAGGCGGTAGCCTGACTGGATCCATTGTGAGCGATCTATTCTACCCAACTCCCCACCTCCGAGGAGAACGCTGTCGACTGTTCGACAACCCCTGAGATGCCCGTGTCCAAATGTACAGTTAGCATGAGTCATTCGGATCCGAGCAGACATCGGCAGGGGTGTGAACATCAACCTCAATCCTCCGCTCTTTGAAAAATAGACTGTTTTGCTTTATTAGAAGCTTCTCGGTTAGGTATACGCGATGCATTTAAGAGCCCTAGAAGAATGGCTGTTTGGCATCACGCCTCGCTGGGTGACGTGTTGACGGCGTTCTCAAGAGAGCGCTCGCACTCATTAATGTGGTTCCCGAGTCGACGAGAGACACGGGGCGGGAGACGGAACGCCCTTAGCAGCTTTAATAAATGGTATCTGGTCCATTAACTAATTAAAAAATATTAAGAGTGAAGAAAGAAGGGGGGGACACGGTTTAGGGAAGAAAAGAGCATAAAGTGGCTGCTTTAAAAGCACATTGCATGACGGTGCCAAAACATCTCTTACCACCTCACAGCAGGAAATGGCATTAAAAAGCCCCTCAGGAGCCAAGGGTCTTTATCCTTTTATTTCCATTTTAAACAGCTCTATACTTCTTATATCGATATGAAGACCTTTGAAATGCTTTTTCTAGATCCGCCTAATATTCTTAAAGCCATAGTTCATATGAAAATTATAATCCGGTCATCATTTACTCAAGTCGTTCCAAACCTGTATGCCATTCTTTCATATGTGAAAGACAAAAGGAAATGTTTACACTTTTTCTATAAAATGAAAACACAAAAGGGGATGAACAGTGTAAATGCCAAACCACTGTCATTTGCTGTCACTAATGTCAAATTTGACACTGTACATTCTTAAAATTAAAGGTGCTTCACGATGCCATAGAAGAACCTTTTTGTCTAAATGGTTCCATAAAGAACCTTTAACATCTGAAGAACCTTTCTGTTTCACAAAAGGTTCTTTGTGGAGAAAGAAGGTTCTTCAGATGATAAAAAGGTAAGAAAGAGATGGTTCTTTAAAGAACCTTTGACTGAATGGCTCTTTGTGGAACCAAAAATGGTTCTTCTATGGCATCGCTGTGAAGAACCTTTTGAAGCACCTTTATTTTTAAGAGTGTATTTGATTATACGCCAATGCAAATGAGATTTGAGCAAATAATGACTTTATTTTTGCTCACATAAATCTATGGTTCAATACAAACTACATTTATGATATATGGAGAGGTCTTTCGACTTACATAAAGTTGCAGCATGAAAATTCTTTAAAACATATCCTTTTGTCTTACACAGAAGAAAGGAAGTCATAACATGCTGAAATAACATTGCATTAAGTTTTCATTTTGGGGAGACCTATTCCTTTAAAACAGTTACCGCTTTGGACATTTGTACTAAGGTAATACCTTGGAGTAGCATTTCAATACTATATGATAATCAAATGGTACTGCCACAGTATGTTCGTGACACACCCCTGTCCAAATACAGAATTGATTAATATCAACTATAAAACTGAATGACAACTCAATTCAGTAAATGATTCAACATGGCTATGAAAAAGCATCTTTGAGGCGATCTTGGACAGCATTCACTGCTAATCACTCCTGATGCTTCACGATGCTTCAGTGAACCAAAATTGCTACCAGGTGTTGATATCTGCACAAGTTCTCTCCCACCCCAGCTCTCAGTGCTTCTTCATAGCATGGAGACGGAGAAAGGAAACAGCTGTCTTTGTTTATGGGACTTGTTTTTGGAGCCTCCACACCAGCAAGCGTTTGCTCAGAATAACACACGCCAACACAGTTTCGGGTGATCTTTGGGAAAAAAATGTGAGAAATGCGAGATAGAAAGGAATAACCTAGATACTGCCACAGAGAACACAGAAACAAACACAAAACATGAAGACTCCCTTGCTTAATCCCTCTTTCCCATAATTCTCTCATCTCATTGGTGGCGCCATCCCTTCATTTAAGTTGAGCACATCGTTGATATAAAACCATGCCTAATAAAATGTTTAAAGTCAACATGAAAGAACATTTGCAATGCATTTTAGTTCCATAATGAAAAAACTGTTAGATGGGACTTCTTCAGTGAGAATTGATTGAATGGTGAAAAGCTGGTGTTTCATACAAGGATAGAGTCTGAATGTGAGTTTACACATTCTTCCTGCTACTTTCAGTGAGGCTTTTTAATTGCGAATCCCAATGTCAATGCTTATTAGTCAAATCTGTTTTTGTTTGTAATTACTGCACTCTTTATTATGTTATTGACAACTGGCATTAATTTATTGTGGTAAATATTGGCAAGATTTTAAGAAAGGCTGTAGAAAGGCTTGCAGCCTAAAACAAGTGTTGCCAATAACATTAACCAGTAATTGGTATGATCTAAGTTACATCAGTGGAAAAAAAGAAACTCATTACACAAGCATTTTCTCTTTGTAATAACAATGCATTGATCAACTGTTCACAATAAGACCAAGAAGATAGTTAAGAGACTCAATTTTGATTTCATGTTGACTTTAAAGGCAGTGTTCATTATGACAGCATATGTTTATATCATCTTAGGTGGACTCTCCATTTATCAGACTTAACTCAAGTTGTTTACATGCAGAAACCTTTTAAGCAATACTTCACCTTCCCTTATTACTAATTAAATCATGCTTGCTTTGTGTTCAAAAAGTGCTAAGAAGCACATTCTCAGTAATGGAGCCTCCGCCCGTATGCTTTAATTTATCTGAAAGCTTCATGTTCTCTCTTTCACCAAAGGTCTGTTCCCATGTTCTGCTATAATAAGGTAAAGTACTCGTAATCAATCTCAGGGACTAGTCAAAGTGCAAACATTGTGGCATGTCCACAACAGCTCTGAACTCGCCGATGTTCTGACCTTGTCCAATCACATTGATTTAACATAAGTACAGCACATTGGATCAAAGTCAGTCCAGGATCAGTGATTGAGGTCACTGGATAACACGTCCTCTTGGCTTGGCGTTCATCAAGAGGCCAGATACAGATTTGCTCTTGGAGAAGTTCCCTCCAGATGAGTACGAGCTGGCTAGATGTCGTAAACAAGCTGAGCACGCTAGTAAGACAGGGTCGTCAGTATCCAAGAAAGAAAAGAACAAGAACAGAACGAGGAAACAGAAAAATCGAAGTGTTGGGTTCATCTGGATGCATTCGAATCCAAGCATCTGAGAGCTTTCTTTGAGGTTCTCCTCCAACTCTTCAGTATGAGATCTGCATTTGTCAAGGACTTCCTTCACGAAGTCAGCATTTGCAGGCAAACCTCTAAACCTTTAGTCCAGGTGTTCACCAGTAGGAATTCCCATCGCCCTTCTCAACCCATACAGTCAAAGACAGGGTCGTCAGTATCCAAGAAAGAAAAGAACAAGAACAGAACGAGGAAACAGAAAAATCGAAGTGTTGGGTTCATCTGGATGCATTCGAATCCAAGCATCTGAGAGCTTTCTTTGAGGTTCTCCTCCAACTCTTCAGTATGAGATCTGCATTTGTCAAGGACTTCCTTCACGAAGTCAGCATTTGCAGGCAAACCTCTAAACCTTTAGTCCAGGTGTTCACCAGTAGGAATTCCCATCGCCCTTCTCAACCCATACAGTCAACTTGGGCATCACCCCAGCCCTGTGCATGCCGCCGTTCGGGTAATGTGCATTGTGGGGGCTGTAGTAGGCCATTGTGGGTTGGTTCCTCCTGGCCGTAAGATGGCGACAGCTAATGGCCATGACAATGACAATGAGCAGGAACAAGATGGCTCCTCCACCAGCCATTATGTAATACCAGTTGGGCAAAATGGGTGGTACTGACAGCGTATCTATTGTTGGCTCACTCTTGCCTGGTAGGGCTCCCCCTGGTGGAGAGATATACAAACTGTGAAACACGCCACACTACTGCTAGGTTCAAAAGCAAACACACTAATGCCATGAAAGATGCTGTATTGACTGTTTTGGCATAAGCTTCATGCTTCATGTTTCACTGTTCGAAATCACCATGAAATCACCTCTTTCCAGTAGTAGAATAGTTGTTGAGGGATCTACGTTCGGTTTGCATAGAGGCATGTACAGTGAAACAATGGGAGTGAATGCAGTGCTGTTATGTAACGTGCTTTCAAATAGGCACCTGAGTCAGATTCCAAGCATGTTGCAAATAAAGACTGCCCCGCTCTAGTCCTGGGGAGTGGGAATGCCATACTATAAATCGAACTGTTTTTT